GGAGTAGAAAGCCTCATCTTTCTCCCGTGGAGCGGCTGGTAGTTTCGAACTGCTGACCTTAAGGTTCGCAGCCCGATTCGTAACCACTATCCTACCAGAGCTCCTTCTATATTTACCTAAATGTCTTGGTTTATCCTACTTGTTGGGTACTTTGTAGGACAATCACTGCAAGTCATCAGTTCAAACTCACCAGTCACTCCTTAGAAACCATATACAGGGTTGCTATGAGTCAGAACTGACTCGACGACACTTAACAATCACAACATAGCCAAAATGTTTGATCATCTTGCAGAACCACAGAACTATCTCATACTAAGAACGATTACTGAATGTTTATTTTAGGCTTAGTTTGACCTCAAGAATGCCTGAGAAACTCAATCAGTTCTATCCACAGACTAGTCAGCCAAGGAAGAGTAAACTCTGTTAACGATCACACTGTGTGGTTAGGAAAGGGACACCCTGAGATGGATATTTGGATAACTCATCTACAATGTTCTGATTGATTTTACAGACTGTGTTCGTCATGTCCTCAAATCCTCAAGTGGAAGAAGCAGTACCAATTGCACCATCATATACAGGATATTCAATGCGCCCAATAGAACAACAGAAATAGACTCCAGAAAATCTGTCCTTCTAGTAATGCAAGAACCCCACTTGAGAAAGTACCAAAATCTAAGTCTGATTTTTTAAAACTATGTATTGTATGATATATTCAGAATAATGTTTTCATTTCCTCCACAAAAGCTTGACTTCTTCTTTCTTTGACACTTTATCAGAACAGAAATTATGTAAGTACATCATCATGCATTTAATTAGTTAACAACATTTGAATGTTCTCCATCCATCCTTAGGAGTATGTAAGGGCAACGAGTTAGCATGTAAGAATTAGCAGTCCAAGATCAAGACCAAGCACATACTTCTGTTTCCTTAAATAATATAAGACAGCTTCAAATAGTTTGTGGAAATATAGAATGAAAAGATAATGGAATTTTTCTATGAATTTTTTGTAATCCCTTCATAAGCTCCCTACTTGTTAAATGTCTTAGCCCACCTTTGGGGACACCAGGTATTTTTGCCTTCAGAAAGCTGAGGTGCATTTCCTTCCCCACTCCGCCCCTCTCATTCTTCCATAGAAACTACTCAGAGTAGCACATTCAATTCTTATATGTGAACAAGTCATTACTTGAGTATAAGTCCCAAGAAGTCAACACTGCATCATGATCTGATTCACCTTACTTTTTCTCTTCTCTCTCCTTCCCTCCTCTTTTCTCCTTCCCCTTCTTCATTTTCCTTCCTCCTATACTTCCCCTCTTCCTTTCTCATTACACCCCCTTCTCTCTCTCCCTATCTTTCTACCCTACAGGGAAGGGTTGCGTCTTACTCAAGATTGTACCACAAGTTTAATGTAAGAGATTATGTTATACACAGTATTTACTCAATGCTTACTGAATGCAGTGTTTTATTTTTATTACTAAGTAAACAAAATTGTCAGCAATAAATTCACATGATACCTGCTTTCCTTTCAAATGTGATATAGCAGAATGAGACTAAAGTTGTATTGATATC